AATTGACTTCAATCATTTGTGCTCTACTGCTTCTTCTTTCTACATTTATATGAACTGTGGGCCAGCATATCTGATTACTATCAATCATGAAGTAGAAACCATCTATCATACAGCTTCTCTCTTCACTTTTAGTGAGGAATATAGATTCTTCTTGAGAAATTATTTTGATAATGATGTGTATCATGGGCTCCCATTCATTCAGAATTTAATTAACCTCAATGATTTTTATGAAAGTGAGTCAGAGTCATCTTCAGAGAACTCAATATATCTTGAAGAAACACAGAAAGCAGATAAGAAAAGCCTCAGATGCTCTTTGACTGTGCACTAATTACTTGAAAGAAAATAATCCACAGCAAATAGAAACTACTGAAAAAGTGACTTCACTGAACTCTGATATAATCTCTATACTTCTTCAATAAGAGGGTTGAATATTAATATTTTACTAGACAATCTGAACTCAGACAATGCTGTGGTGTTTTATTCTATATACTTTATTACAGCTGAAGTGATTTTGTTCTATGATCATACTTTTTATATCTCTTACATGAATAAGCATATCAACATTATATCAAGACTTTCAGAAATGAAGATCATTACAATTTTATATCTGATGTGCAGAAAACAGGTTGTTGGGTATAAAAGAGAATATAGAAAGAGAAAAGATAGGTTTTTTGATGTAAATCACAATTATATACTTGCAGGCATTATTTTCTTCAGGCAGTAATGATTGTCAATCAATCTATCTAACTATTGAAGAAGAAGCTGTGGTGTGATTTCTGTATAATATATAACTGATTCACAAGTCAAAATATCATCTGAATAAATGAACAGTACACACTGACTGAACATTTATGCAATGTTTTCAAGTTTGTAGCCTGGCACTGGAAGCATTCAGTAATATCAGCAATGAATCTATTATATCAGAACTGTTGCATCAGAGCAAAATAGTCATCACAGTAATATACTACCCGAAACAAGAAAATGTTGAGATAAATGGGGAGTTGGCCCTCCACCATTGCTACAATGCTGATTGTAGAGTGAGGGATGTAGTTCATCAGTTCACAAGCAAAATATTTGAAAGTGTTAATCCCAATACTTTATGTGTTAAAGAAGTGATATAAAATTTGTGGTGTCTTATGAGTAGTCATCAAATCTATATCAATTCCATTAGAAATAGTATTAGAAATGATCTTCTTCACATGATCATGCATTTTATCTCTTGAAAGTTTGTACATACTTCTGAAACTGCAGAATCAACAATCCCAACACAGAAATTATTTTCTCACATGAAACTGGTTGTTGAAACTGTTGAATGATTGCTAGAAGGCAATTAGACTGATATATATATTCATCAATCTTCCACAATCTGGGGTGTGGCTGTAACTGATTTCAGCTATTATTGAAATATTATATTCATGGGCATGATGATGTGGCTCAGCCCACAGCAGATATGACTATCCAACTCATCATCTAGCTCTGCTGAGACTAGCTCAATGATTCAACAGCATTTCTATTCATCTTTGAAAAGAGATGTTAAGAACAAAAGCTCACAGAAACTCAAATGCCTCTGCTTTAGCAGATTTATGTGATGAAATAATATGAGATAGAGAATTGTAAGTTCACATTGAAGAAATTGACTGTTCCATTGAAGATTCAGACTGAAGTCAGTGGACTTCTTTGACTTCACATCACTGTCATAATAAGCTGATCAGAAACCCTTTGTATTTGAAAGAGAGAGTGAGCTGAATGAAGAAATAGAAGTCAAAGAAAGTAAAGAAAGAGAGAGCTGATTTTCTTTCTCTGAAAAATATACTCTATAATATTCTTTCAGAGGTTCTGAAGGTTTTGCTGTCTCTGATACTGCTTTCATAGTTTTATTCCTCAATTTCTGAAAAAATTCATGATATATCTGTAGAACAGCTTTATTTGATGATATAGTATTTGATCAAGCTCTCTTAATTAATTCTTCATATCTTGAAGTGTGTGGCATGGTGACTTTGCAACCTTTGATAAGTGTGTTTTCACCATTGCTACAATGCCTTCAGTTATTTTCTTGCATAAAACTGGCTGTTGAAACTGATGGTCAATAATGGAGTCCATAAATTTTTCAAAAATGGAAGATAAAGCTGTGTCAATGTTATAGAATTGAAGTTGACATGTTCTCACATTTGTTCAAAGATGTCAGAGTGCTCTGAGACAATGAATACACTTTTGAAGAGCATCAGAAGCAAGAGAATATCATTGACTGATTTTTGAAGACAGTCTCTTTCTTTTATTGAGATGTAGCAGAAACTGAGATTGAAGATATTAGTTGCACTTTTTTGATTATCTGAACATGATACATTTGTAAAAACATATTGATAGAAGAAGAAGAGATCATGAGAAGCTGTATACTCACATCTGCAATTCATGGATGAGCTTTGAGCCTGATGTTTGTATTTGAAAATGGGAAGCTCTGAGCAGTTCAATACATCATCTCTCACAGCATTCAGACAATTCAGCAAAATGATGCAGATGCATTTATAAGAATCTGCAGTAGATCTTTTTCTCTTTGAAACAAAGATATCAAACATATAATGAAGTGCAATAGTATTTTCCTTCTTGACTGTGTGCTCTATAATGAGGGGTGGAGAGCAGAGAATGAAGAATAGATGGGATTTTAATTTGTTGTTCTATTCTGTAGTGTACTTTTACATATATTTTTGTCACTGAAAGGTAATTAGACTGATATTTGTTTGAGAAATAAGAAAAACTGTTCAGTGAAACAATCAAGAATTGAGAGAACAAAAGTGGCATCACAATGTTCTGATAGATCTTTCAGATATCAGCACTTGAGTGCTCTGTAGATTGTTGCAGTGAGGAAATAAATTCAGTTAGTTGCAAAGTATGACAGTTATAGAGCTTGAATAGAAGAATCAAAATGATTCTATGTATCATAAAAAGTATAATCCTTCTTGAAGTCAACAGAGAGGATTAAATATCTTGTTGCATAAATTTTATTGAATGTTTGCATGACATTTCTTGAGCATTGAACTGCTAATAACAAAAATTCTCTGATTAGTCTGAGCACAAAGAATGATGAGGCTCTTCAGAACTCTTTCAAAATGTTTCCTTGTCTCATCATTGTGAAGGTTGGAGGTGTCAGCAGTGCCACTATATAGATCTAAAAATTTTAACATTCAAAACTTCTTTTCATTCTTCCATCTTGCATGATTAAAAAAGACAAGTCTGATGTTAAGATTAGAAGGAATAGATCTTTGCAAGAAGAGGATAAACTAGATATAAGAAAAGTAAATATTATCTGTAAATATATCAAATACATATCATGCAAAGAATATATATTACACTCTAGATCATTATAGATTTTCCATTAATAGATTAGAGACTGGCCATCAAAGACAGTTGGTTGAGACATGAACAGAAGAGAGAAAAATAAAGATGGAGAGAAATCAAGTTCACCAGGCAAAGAATCATATATATAGAGGAAAGCTGGTGGTGAAGGGTCATTTTCAACAGAGAATAAATGGAAGATCACTGGAGTGTCTGAAATTGAATGAAGCATTCAGCAGAGATTGTCTCAGAGCATCTGAGAAGAAAGTTAGAAATTGAATAATACTGAATTGATAACTAGATGTGCTATATTACAAATGCATATACTAGAGTTAGTTGATTGGAATATTTAATTTCCTTTGAAAGCTGATGAAACTGTACAATGATAATAAGAGCTGTTACATTCTGAAGAAAGCAGATTTCTGTGTTTCTTTAAATATTTGCCTGCATAATCTCATTCATATGAGCTGGGTATCTGTCAAATCTGTTTGTCCCTCTCATTTCCTGATCTATCAGAACAACACTGATTTCCAAATATTGCAGATCTATCTTTACAAATAGCACATTATTCTGATATATTTTCCTTGATTATCTGTAACTTCTGAAGAAGTTCTTCATAGTTCTGAGGTTCATCATTGCATCAATCTAACTCAGTGCATAGCACCTTCAACACTTTACTATGCAGATTATTCATACTCTGTTCTTCATTATATAGAGGTAAGTACAGTAGTACTTTCAATTCTCAAAATATTTAGAGAAATAATGTATCAACTGCTACTTCTGTTGCTTTCTGAAATCTCTGACTTGCTAATCAGCACTGATTCTGTGAATTGTCTCTAAATGTTATTGAATGTTAACAGTGTTGTTCCTTTGTGTCTCTCATACAATGATACAAAATTTAACTATTTCTGCTTAATGTGAGCATCAAGGTAGAGTTTGATGTCATTTATCTTGCATTCTTCCTTTCAATAATATCAGTGGTGGTGTGCAAAGAGAGTCAATATGTGATCTTTGTAGTTCTTAAATTCTAACATATTCTTTTCTCTCTAGTAATTCTTAATCTCTAATCTTGATGGTGTTTCATTATTGTCATCTATACTACTTGTGGCTTGGTTAAGCAGTGGTTCTACAGCAATATTCTGAGTTGATTGAGAAGAATCTTCACAAATCTGCACTTCCAACTCATTGAGATGTTGTTATACTCATTCAACTGTTGCAATCAAGTATTATGATTGTTGAAGATGATAGAGGATTCAGATTGATTCTCAAGGGGATAGATGGCTGCTTTAGACAGATAACTCTGCCTTGTGAAGAGATAAAAATCATGGTCAATGCAAATAATTGAGTCTTATTCTCTTTCTCTTCTTTGAAAGTGGGCTGCGAAGTCCAACTCTGCCACCTCCTCGCGGTGTGGTCTGATAACATCATCTAATGGTGATGGCCAAGAGCAGAGTGGTCTTGATCTTTGCTCTCTGAGAGCAATCGCTGCTCCTCACGAGCACTCATCACCCTGCTGCTCCTCGCGAGCACTCATCACCCTGCTGCTCCTTGCGAGCACTCATTGCCCTGCTGCTCCTCACGAGCAATCATTGCTCTGCTGCTTCTTGCGAGCACTCATTGCCCTGCTGCTCCTTGTGAGCAATCATTGCTCTGCTGCTCCCTGTGAGCAATCACCCTTCTCTGCCCTGCCTCCACTCTGCCTCTGCCTGCCACTGCTTCTCGCAAACAATCACTCTGTTCTGCCTCCTGCTCTCCTGCGAGCAATTGCCCTGCTGCTCCCCCGCAAGCAATTGCCCTGCTGCTTCTTGTGAGCAATTGCCCTGCCCTGCCTCCTGCTCCTTGCAAGCAATTGCTCTGCTGCTCCCCCGTGAGCAATCACCCTGCTGCTCCTCGCGAGCAATCACTCTGCTGCTCCTCTGTGAGCAATTGCTCTGCTGCTCCTCACAAGCAATCACTCTGCTGCTTCTCTGTGAGCAATCACCCTGCTGCTCCTCTGCAAGCAATCACTCTGCTGCTTCTTGTGAGCAATTGCCCTGCTGCTCCCTCATAAGCAATCACCCTGCTGCTCTCTGTGAGCAATCACTCTGCTGCTCCCCCGCAAGCAATCACTCTGCTGCTTCTTGTGAGCAATCACTCTATATCTGCTTCTGGTGAGCAGTTGTCTATTTCTTTACCATGGATGACCACATGTTGAGCTAGAAGTGGATGAGCAGTCTATATAGACTGAGTCTTCTCAAGAGTTGCTATCTGAATTCTGTGTCTATTTCTATTTTGTATATAGAGATTTCTCCAGCTTAGCATATCTCCATGCCCTTTGAGAGGCTTCTGAAGTGCAGGCATTGCCTGCATCTTCTCTGAGACATTAAATCAATCAATCAATCAATCTTCTTTGAAAGTCAGAAGCCATCAAACAGCTGAAGTGCTTGATCTCTAATTCTTGCACTGTCTTCCTCTCTACAAATCTGACACTGCTGTTGTGTTTCCACAATATACAATGTTCATTGAAAACCTCTACAGCATCAGGTCACGCCCAGGCTCAGAGACCATCATCATTCACTACATAACATACCACAATGATGCACTCATGTTGTTGTTGTATTGTATTGTGAAGAGATGATTGTTCATCTGATGATGCAGATGAGTGATCACTGCAATATGAAAATATTTTCAAATATTTTTTCTGTTTTTCAGAGAGATGCACAGATGAGTATTTATTATTAGTGAGTACTATAGCTACTCTATCATAAGAAGCTGAAGCAATACACAACATCATCACAATTCTGTAGCTGCTGATACACATCTTCTTCATATTTGATGACAAGACAGTTTGCTTGAATATCATCATCATTATCATCAATATATCTCAATAGCAGCTTGACAGCAATATTATCTTGTCAAACAATGACTTCTGTTTCATCATGATCAAGAACAGAATCACAGAGTGGAGTTTCATCTAGATTCAAGAAGAGAGAGAATATTTTAAGAAGAGAAAGAAATGTTGATTGTTCAGCAAGACTACACTTCTTAGCATATAAAGCAGTCAAGAGTACTCACTTTGAAGAAAAAAGACTCAAGAATAATGAAAGGAGCAAAATGTTTTGATTTGATCATATATCACATTTCTTTTTTCTCAGCAGAAAATAAAAGCTATTGATTGACTATATTTGAGATGATAAAACATAACTAAGACAGCTTCATCTCTAATTCAACTGAGGCTAGTTATGAATACTTTCAACATTTTAAGCTTCAACTCTTACTTCATATAACTGATCATCACTACTTCCACCAACTGATTCTTCATCATCATCTGATTTGCTCTGACTTTGATGATTGAAACAATTTCATTTGTGTTTAGTTGAGCTTGCTTGAGAGATTGAAACTGGATTTTTGCATTGACTTTCTCTTTGCTCTGCAGATTTACACCATTGTATATAATTATAATCAGATTCATATATGCTGCATCAGTAAAATCTGCTTTGCTTACTATAATGTAGTAGATGCTATATAATTCTGAGAAAATCTTCTTGAAGATGAAATCATCAGATGAGAACATTGTTCTGTGTAGAAGAATCAGAAAACTGAGCTCAATTACTGTTGCTGATTGAAGTCAGTATATATTGACAGATAGCATCTGCTTTGCAGCTTCAGTTCTTCTCCTCAAAATATTTCTCAAAAAAGCTCTCAATATTTTAAAATATGCAGTCATGTATCTTCTTGAAGATTCTTGAATTCATCAACTCAAGTGTCTGCTTGAAACCTTTCTGTGATGATGAAATGAATTTGACTGAGATGCTGTCAAAGAATGAGAGAACACTCATCAGAGAAGTTGTTTGTCAAAAGAGAATGTCAATGAGAGTAAATACAGCTTTTCAGATATTGAAGTTTCAGGGTTTGACATTCTGAGATTCAGTGAAAGATCTTTGAATAATCAGATGCATCAGTGAATGATAGTTGTTATATCTAAAGCTTTTTTTTGTCTTTTGAAAGCACTCAAATAATTGTACTAGATCAGATGCTATATTTCCATCATTTATTCACAACAGAAAGCTGTAGACTGCACCCTCTCTCTGTAATATATAGACAAGTTTTGAAATCATATTTTGAAACAGTTGGTCAAGGCTATCAACAGCACTATTATAGAAAATTAGACACAACTCATATATTCAGCTTTCTGAAGTGCATCTCATAAACAGTCAACTAAATTGATTAGTGGATGATTCTTGATAATAATATGATCTTCTTGTGAAAGTTTCATCATTTTGATAATATAAAAGACTGTTGAATTGGTGTGAGATTAACTAGAAGCTGATAAGAGGAAAAAAATTAGATTGATATGCTAATATTATGTGATGAGAAGCAAACAGAGAAACAAAAATATAGAATTGTAAGAAAGTTATGATTGATGATAATCTGCAAGAGAATATAACTCACTAGAAAAAGATGCTGATATATATTATCAAAAAGAGGATTATAATCAAAGGGTTGATCTGGCTTGACTCTGATTCACAATATGAATATGAGAATATAACTCACTAGAAAAAGATGCTGATATATATTATCAAAAAAAGGATTATAATCAAAGGGTTGATCTGGCTTGACTCTGATTCACAATATGAATATGAGAATGAATGAACTGCTGAGTAAGAAACCAGGCAAAGATGAATTCTACAGTGTAATTATTTGATCACATGATGAAATGATAATAAGTGTGAATAAAACAGTAGTTTGAGAAAGATCAGTTATTTCCATTTAGAATTAATATATACCATCTGCTGTGTTGAAGATCATTATTCATCTCTTCAATCTCTTTTCTCTGTTCTGTTATTTCTCTTCTGTTTGTCTCTGAACTCAGTGCAGTTTGTTATTTCATAATATATTGAACAGACTGTAGATTCTTATACACCACTTCTAGTATATAAATTTCTCTCTCTGACTTAAAGATTTCATCATTTAGTGTTGAGAATTTGACTTTGTCTATACTCTTCTCAGCTCAATTCATAAGAAGTATATAATGAATATTCTCAGTATTATGAAGAAAAAGAATCAGTTTCAAATGAATTATTCTCAGAAATATAAGAACAGCAGAACTCTGTGCTTTCTGAAGAATTCAGTATATTTCTGCTTTATATAAGACATGTTTTTATAGCTCAGAGTCAACTCTTCAATGAGAATTGATATTGAATTATTGAGATTTGATTCCTTGCTGTGGCTGTCTGTGAGATAAAATCAGATGTGGAAGATAAAGTGACTTTTTATCTCTAGATTCACTGCTTCTGTTCTCTCTGAGAACACTACTGAAACTCAATTGTTATTACTGATTGATGTGTAATTCAGATACAAATTACTGTTACTGAATTATCTAGATTTAAATATTCAGATCTTTTCAGCTGTATAGTTCTATTCTTAGTTGTAAAAATTAAAAATATATGAAATTAATTGATGAAATAAAAATATATTTGAACAGTTCAATTCACAGACAAAAAGAAGAACAATTTAATAAGAAGACAACAGCATCTTCACACTATTTCTCAAGAGTTTATTTTCAACTCTGCTCAGATGCTACTCTGAATATCTGTAGAATTCTAATATAAAACTGAAATCTTACAGTGTTTCATCACTTGTAATATCTGTATCTGATCTGATAATATGTTTTTAATGAATACTGATACTGAATTATCATATATAAATATCTTCTGCAAAAAACTTCTTACTCAACAATTATATAATTTGTATTTGCTCAGAAATATACTGAGTAATTATATACTTATTTCTCACTTTCAGTTGTGCTAAATATTATGTCTTAATACTGTTTTAACTGATTTTCATAAATCAAATTCTTGTATGAATCAAGAGAAAAGAGCTTTATCTTTTAAAGATGAAACAAAAATAGTTCAAGTTTGTATTTCTCATTTTAAATGTAGTATAGAAAGTCTTTTTTTTTGTGTATTATAAAGAAACTGTGAGATCATAACTTTGCAGAGCTGAAATCAACAAGAAATACACAGTCATCATTTAATCTCATTATATTTTGTGAAAACAGATTATTATAGATGATATTCATATTGTATAGATGATCAAGCTGATCTCACAAACTCTGAGTTTCAGTGAAAGTAACTCTAGTCTTGTCAATGATACAATCATCAATGTATTCAAACAACAGTTCATAAATAGAGTCTTCAGCTGTATTTATTCTTCACTGCTATTCTAGCTTTTATTTTAAGCTTTGTTTCTGAGTTTCATCAAGTTTGAGTCAGTTATAGCAACAAGACTCAACCACTCTGCTTAGATTATTTTCAATCAAGTAATCATACACTTGATATTCAACAATGAAGAAGTCTTTCTCTCATGCATTTCTTTTAAACTGTGATTTCAGTCAGTCAGATTGTATCAGAGTGTACTAAGAATATTATTATTATAAATAAAGATTTAACTGAGCAGAGAAATACTGCTAAGATGTTTTGTATCAATTTGAGAGTATATATTTTGTGATTAAGTTGTACTTTGAAGAGATAGCTATAGCTTTCAGTGAACAATAGCTCTAGAAACTTGATATCAGACAGAAGATGACTAAAATTATTAATGAAAGAACACTTCATTTTATGATATTTTAATTACATAATTCAGTATATATACTTGTGTTTAGATGAGAATATCTGTTGAAGATTTATAGAAAGTAAAGAAGTAGTTGTGATATTGATGCAAGCAGATAAAATCTCTGAAAAGAGTGAATAGCAATACTGAGAGATTAAGAGATGTGTTGATCTAATCAGTGTGAGTGAGGTTATAGCTGTATTTATATGATATTAATTGATTCTGTTTATAATTGACTTGCTGTGCAGAGTATCATCAGAGTATTAACTATAGAAAATATTGTAGATTCTGAGGCTCTTCTGTTGATGATTCTTGACATTAATATAGAGAAAGACTTTTAATTGATAATCACTGATAATACACACAAATTTAGTCTGAGATATTTCATAAAGAATAAATTAAAAGATGAGAATTCTTGAAGCTTTGAACTGTGTCTGAAGATCATCAGATCAGTGGTCTGATTGAAAATTCATATTATCATAATCAATTAAATTGATTATAGCTGTGAAAATCAATAGAACAACTGAGTGCACTAGAAAAGCAACACCTCAGAAATACTCTTCACTGTGTAATACAACTCTGCAAATAAACTTGATAT